CTCTGGTTTCATTATACATTGTTTTGCTTAATGTCAATTTTACCATAAGCTAAATGAAATAAACAAGAGTTAAGTTCCTATGGCATATTTCAATCACAAAAGCATTACCAAACTTCTAAATAAAGACCCCCAAACTCTTTTAATATAAAAAAATTTGAAATAAATGCAAGATTGGACTGGCCCATTGGGGTATTGGGCTTTCCCTGGTAGGCTATCATTAAAAAAAAATAAATACAAGTGTTTTGGAATTCAATATAATTTTAATAGTAAGAATTCTATATTTGTCTCTTGCTTGTGCACAACTGCTTATGAATGTTGATTCAATGCAACAAAAAAATAAACAAGAACACAATTGTCAGTAAGTGTATCACTTATATGCTATCATGTAATGATATATTTTGAAGAGTAATTATTTTAAAATATTTATTTTTTAAAACCGCAATTTAGTGTAATAACCAACACTTGGCACAACATTCATTTATACAATGATTTAAAATAATTGCATCAAAACACCCGAATTTTTTGTCTAGCATAAAATTATTTTTTTATTTTTCTAACATTTTCAACCTACTTAATATAGGCCATCTTTAGGCTTAAGATTAATCTGTTCCAAAATGGAACATATTGTTTTTCAAATATGTTTCATTTTAAATTTAAAAGTTTTAATTTAAAATAATTGTACATATTAAATAAATGAACAAATAAATAAACATTTTTTTTTGTTCCAGTGAAACTGTGAATCTGTCTCAGGGAGATTAGTAGAATTAAAAGAATTGCAACAAATTTGGGTTACAAAACTGCAAAAATTCAAGGACTGGTCAAAAGTTAGGGAAAATAAAGGCATAAGAAATACTAAATTAGATGGAATAACAAATTCACATACAATAAGCATACAGGAGGAATGATGAATGAATTGGATACTTATAAAACTTGAGAATGGTCTATAAAAAAAGCACCCAATAGCTATAGTTTACTATGGAATGATAAAGACAGCATAAAAATGGAAGAAGAAGCTGGAGTTTATAAAATACCATTTGAAAATCAACTGGAAGAAACCTGGCGGTACGTCTGTGAGAACACAAATAAAACATGGATAAAGGGCACAGCAGCATAATATTAGCAATTATGGTGCAGACCGAAGGAGCGATTGTAAGATAGGATGAGGCAAAAGTCATTAAAATGATTCACTCTCCATCCATTGCATTGGAGATGGAAAAGATGAAAATTTAAAAAAAAAAAATGAAAAAATGTTGCCTAAATGCCAAGGATGCTAATGTGCTTCCAACAGCATGGAAGTATATGATAGAAAAAAGTATGGGACTTAAAAACTCTTAAAACTTGTATTCGTTATACTTAGCCTTGTTTACTATGTTTTATTTATTTATTTGTTCATTTATTTAATATACACAATTATTTTAAATTAAAATTTTTTAATTTAAAATGAAACTTATTCAAAAAATAATACGTTCCATTTTGGAACAGTTTAACCTTAAGCCTATATTAAGTAGGTTGAAAATGTTAGAAAAATATACACTCTCCTCCTTCAAATTAGCAGTGTCTTGCCCCTGTGCATCATACTTTTCCTGTTAAAATAGTCATGCCGACTGTAGAGAATCCAGCCTGCATTCACAGATTCCCTCCCGCCAACTCATCATACTGAATTGAAACAGTCAACTATCTGAACAGAAAAAACAAACTTTAATCACACTTGATCGTATACACTAGAAACTCAATCCTACAGTTAACAAGACTCTTCTTATCCTTCCTTGCTCACTTTCGAACTCCACCACTTTTCTCTTCACTAACTCCACCATCCTCCCATCTCTAATCTGATTCTCCAACTCTTGTCCCTCTCTCCCATTTTTCCCACTTTTTCTCCCCTTTGTTTTATGACCCTTTGTCTACCCTTGTTTATTACTTTACAACTGCTTGTAAAGAGATTGAATATTGACCAATAAGACTGCAGTCAGGGGAAAAGAATAGGTCCAATATCACTACACTGATCTAACTGCTTTTGAGAGAAATTTTTGAATTGAAATAACATGACTGCTGATTTGAATCAGAAGTTTGCACATAGTTAATTGGGGCCTCCTGCCCCTAAGGTTTNATTCTTGATCTTGTTTATGTAAGCAATTAAAATTTTTTTTCTTTTAATTTTGTCTAACAACCTGATTTAGTAACATTGATTTTGGTATATTATAATTGTTATTTTACTATATTTTGATTTGTTAGTGTTATCAAGTTTACTCTTTGATGTTGTAAAGATGTCAACTTTATGGTTGTGTTAATTGTCAGTAGTAGTTAAGTATTAATAGTTTGTTTTATTTATATGTGGTGTTACTCATTTTTCAATCTCTGCTGTGTGGACACAAAGATGTTCTTTCTACCATGTTCACTATGGGTTTGGCCAAGTCTACAACAGCAGTGTCTTGATGGTGAGGAACAAAACCTGAAATATATGGGAGATTGCCCACAAAAAATCCTGGGGTTTCCTGCCCAAATTTGATTCCAGGTCCCAAGGGTAGCAGGCTGATGCTTTTGTCATTTTGAAACTCTGGCCATCATCCTTATATATGCAGAGTGATTATAATTAAAGTTTGAATTTCACAATGGTCTGACATAAGAACCATTGGTCAAAATGACTTGACATTTTGTGTGAATATGTATGAAGCAATGGAACTTTGATAAAGAAAAAAATTTAGTTCAAAAATTTGCTGCTATGGGAAAAATTTGTGCTTTATTATGGTGGAAAGCAATACAAAAGTAAAAAACATTTACAAGTGACATAACAAATGTTCAATATGCTGGTCTTTGTATTCTAATAAAAGCTGAAATCACAAAATATCATGTTCAATACTAGATCTGAGTGTTTCTGTAGAGATGTGGATATGATGAGTGATGCTGGCTTTCAGTTCCACTAAATATGCAATGTGTCTTTTAAACACAACATTCTTTAGATGTCCCCAAAGCCAAAAATCATATGGAATCAAATCTGGTGAATTTGCTAGCCATGTTACAGGAAAATTTTGAGATGAACAATTGATATAATATATCAATTGTCCTTTAGGACTTTTCTATTTATTTTTAAAAATAAATTAAATTAAATAAATAATTATACTTGAAATGTTCACCTCAAAATTTTCCTGTAGCATGGCTAGCAAATTCACCAGATTTGATTCCATGTGATTTTTGGCTTTGGGGATATCTAAAGAATGTTGTGTTTAAAAGACACACTGCATATTTAGTGGAACTGAAAGCCAGCATCACTCATATCCACATCTCTACATCTCTTTTTATGTGTATTATTTAATTTTGGGAGTATATTATACTCCCCAAAATTAATAAATACACATAAAAACAAAGACAATAATTACATAAAATAAAAAAATTGTATAATTCATTTTTACATTTTAATTTAAAACAAGTAATTTGCATCTTTTGATACTGCCAATATGCATCACAGGTTCCCCTAGTAGCAAATTTTTGAACAAAATTTTTTCTTTACCAAACAAAACTATTGCTTCACAAATATTCTTGTAAAATGTCAAGTCATTCTGACCTGTGATTCTTATTTCAGACCATTGTGAAATCAGAACTTTAATTATAATCATCCTGTAGTTACGTGCCTCCTCTTATTCAGTAAAATTTCATTTCTTCTCCTAAAAAAGTCTGTATGTGTGTTTAATTTTTATAGTTTTTTACATTATAAATTTTAAGAAAACAATTTTTGTTTGAATGAGATATGTGGAACTACTTCAAGTGTTTGGGGGTGAAGAAATAGACTCCTGAAAATTGGCAACTCTGATACCTGTATGTATATATATAGTCAGTCAGAGACTTTTTTACTTGACAGGGTCACTGCCATGACTCATGATTTAATTAAAAAAAAAAAAAATACTAATAAATGTTAAATATATCTTTTGGAATTAAAAATTTTATCTTTTTACCGATTTTTGGTGTAAGTAAAGCTCTCACAAAAGAAGACCGTCGTGGCATGAAAGTCGATTTAAAAAGATGATCATGATTCATTTCATTACGAACAATATCTTCCCATTCAAAGGAATGCTCAACCAACATGTTCCATTGACACTGAGTACGTCTATACGTTTGTAAAGCACGAATTATCTAAAATAAAAATTTTAAATTACTAAAAATAATATTAACATTTTTATAATTTTATTTTTCATATCTTTTATAAGTTTATTTGGAATAGACTTAAAAAAGATATGAGAGAATATATTTTCTCTCTATTAGTAGTGGTATAAAAGTGATAAAATTAAATTATTGACAGACTTATCTATATATAACACTGCAAATGTATTAAAAAATTAAATAATAAATAAATTACTTTTTAATGAATTTCATTACTTTAAAAATAAAAGTTGATTACCTATGGTTATCACAAGATGAACTATTGACAAGATTGAAAAAAATTGCTTAAAAATTTAAAAGAATGTATTATAATGCCTCAGAAATTTTGATGTAATTAAATCTTTCAAAATTACATATTTTAGAAGGGAAAACAAACCAAAATAAATGAATGAACAAATATTAAAGGCTTAAAAAACAAAAAGTACTACTATGAAATATGAATTATGTAAGGAACAGATTTCTATATTTGGAAAAATAATCCTAGTTAATGCAAATGATATTTTTATCAAGTTATAAGGCAAACATAATACAGTGGAACCTCGCTTAATGAGCATAATTCATTCCAGAATCTTACTTGTAATGCAAAACACTTGTTAAGCAAAACAATTTTTCCCATAGAAATTAATGTAAAATACAGTTAATCCGTTCTAGCTGTCAGTATTTTTGTAATTTTATTTGTAAAATGGGTTGTTTTCTTTGATTCTTTTCAAAAAAATGGTTTGAACTTTTGCATCAACCGAATATAATTTAATATCCACATGTTAAAAGCAAAAACACTATTCTTAAGTCGGACCAAAGTTCAGGGAGAAGTAAGAAAAAAACTGTACTGTAGTGTCAAAACAAACACGACGCAAAAACGAATGATGTAACAGATCAGGTGGATCAGGTGGAATGTCTGCGGGGAAGATGAAACTCTGACAGAAGCAGTCATAAACAGTTGATCTAGGTTAAATTTTCGGAAAAGGGGAATGATTTGACAAGTTTAAAAACATCGCTTACGATCGTTAAAGTTTTAAAATGACAGATAGCAGAAACAATAGGCTAAATTATGAGTGAAAGGATTATATGTTTATAAACAATCTCCAATCAGAGTCAACAAACAGGTGTCAAATAAATGCCTCCGAACAAACCTTTCTCGTGACCTGATCTGGTTTCGGTTTTCACCTGGAGACAAAGAAGAAAACAATCGGGAAGCGAGGAATGGGATGCAGGATTAATCGTAAGGTGAGATTCAAGGAAGAAATACTATAAAAACCCCAAATCTCAAGGTCAAAACACAGTTTTCCTAAAAATTCTATGGCGATTAATCTGTGTCGTCTTCATCTGGATTAAGTCTGAAGTCGTGCCCACTAAAATATGTGTTGTGTCTCACGGACCGCTCCAGTCGTTGGAGCTCTGTCACCTACCATCGCTTCTATAACCAAGCGAACCCATCTCGTTCGCTCTGGGGCTATGACTGATCAGCTTGCACTATCATAGGATCAACAATACGCCATGCCTCAGTGCCGGGAGAAAATACTGTAGATAAGTTATTTCCAACCACCTCAAATATATAAGCATCTTCCCATTCTAATAAACGATTTTCACTGTAAAATACTTGTCATCTTTGTCTTCTCCGCCACCACCAACGTATGAATGGTCCCTAGACCATCACCGACACATGATTAACTGATTCCCCCTAAAAGTCGGCAAGCTTACAAATTTGACACAAAAATCCATTAAGTTCGTTATTCGAGACAAAATTTTTGATAAAATAAAAGTTCATTAACCGATTTGGTCGTTAACCAGGGTTCCACTGTATTCAAATATTTTATATATAACATTATTCAAAGAAAATTATACCATATACATTGTTAAGGAGTGTAAATCATCATCATTTCTTTTAGTGTGAAATGAACAAACCTGAAATGCGAATTTGATTTGCAGACCAAAAAAAAAAAAAATCATAGATAATATGTCTGATAAACATGCAAAACGATATGCCAAATTCTTGGGCTATATAAAGGCTATAATTAAATATTAGAAATTAATTAATTTGACTAGAGGTAGGCAGTTATGCTGCCATCTCATACTAAATTTAATAATTACTAGCAGACTCCGCCGTGCATTGTTGTGGCTCAAAATGTATCTATTATAAATTTATAACACTTCCCCCGTGAGGGGGAAATTTTTCGAACAATTTCTTCTTAGTGTACATTCTCTTGACGTACCCTATTAAAACGCAATCAAAAACGCAAAAACCCGCATCTAAAATAGTATAATAGAAGCCAAGTTCTTCACAGTAAGCCTTAATCCTGTCTCTCTCCCCCGCAGGGGAATATCGAAAAATTTCTTCTTAGTGTACATTCTGTTGACGTAACCTATTAAAACGCAATCAAAAACGCAAAAACCCGCATCTAAAATAGTATAATAGAAGC